ATGTCATCTGCATCTAGAGAACATGTCCACCAGCTTGGTACAACACAGGCAGAACCTGAGACCAGCATAACCAGCGTCGCCTCCACCACACAGCCTGATGACGCACCAGCCTCCCAGTCTGCTCCAGCCCAGGTCAACCTACCAGCCTCCCAGTCTGCTCCAGCCCAGGTCAGCCTACCAGCCTCCCAGTCTGCTCCAGCACAGTGTGCTCCAGCCCAGGTCAACCTACCAGCCTCCCAGTCTGCTCCAGCCCAGGTCAGAATACCAGCCTCCCAGTCTGCTCCAGCCCAGGTCAGCCAACCAGCCTCCCAGTCTGCTCCAGCCCAGGTCAGAATACCAGCCTCCCAGTCTGCTCCAGCCCAGGTCAGCCAACCAGCCTCCCAGTCTGCTCCAGCCCAGGTCAGCCAACCAGCCTCCCAGTCTGCTCCAGCCCAGGTCAGCCTACCAGCCTCTCAGTCTGCTCCAGCACAGTGTGCTCCAGCCCAGGTCAGAATACCAGCCTCCCAGTCTGCTCCAGCCCAGGTCAGCCAACCTGCCTCCCAGTCTGCTCCAGCCCAGGTCAGCCTCCCAGTCTGCTCCAGCACAGTGTGCTCCAGCCCAGGTCAACCTACCAGCCTCCCAGTCTGCTCCAGCCCAAGTCAGAATACCAACCTCCCAGTCTGCTCATGCCTCCCAGTCTGCGCCACCCAGACAACCATCCACAACAGCAATCCTTATTGATTCAAATGGGAAGTTCTTGGTCCAGGAAAGATTATTCCCTAGACACCAGGTGTATAAGTTCTGGTGTCCAACAACAGAGAGTGCAATGCAGCTGCTCAGTCAGACCAGGATTGACACCCCTGAGAACATCATCATCCACACTGGCACAAACAACCTTCGTGCCAAAGGTGAAAATGTATCTGGGGCAGTGAGAAGAGTGGCAGAACGGGCACAGGCTATGTTCCCAACAACCAATATAGTTGTGTTCACCCTCCTACCAAAAGACTTCCCAGGACAGTTGATCGACAAAATAAATCAACAGATCACTGTGGACTGTGCCTCACTGCTCAATGTCAGAATGGCTCACCATCCCACTCTGACATGTGAACACTTATACGATAATGTACATCTTGATCAGGACAGTGTCAGAACCTTTGCTAAGGACCTTAAGGATGCAATACTTGGCAGGGACCCACACACCCATCACCCCAGCAGCAGAGGCCCCCCCCGCTCCACTTTCTGAAACAACAGTACCCCCACCATCCCCAGGAGAAAAGAGCCAGACACAGCTTATTACAGCACAGCTCTACAAGACCAGGCCCAACACAGCACAGATTTACCAGACCAGACCCGCCTCAGGACAGCACGACCAGACCCGTCCCATCACAACACAGCTCTACTAGACCCGGCCCATCACAACACAGCTCTACTAGACCCGGCCCATCACAGCACTGACCACTACTCTAGGGTCGGGCAGAACACTGTCCTTCAGAGAAGTGGACCACATGATGCAGTCCACACCATGTATCATTCAGATCATCATCCTACATATGCGAAGGTAACCTCTGGCAAAACACACCTAGAACTATCAGAGGTAGGAGAGGTGCTCCAACTACTGCATCTAATATGCAGACTACTGGGATAGACAGACCCTTTAATTCACACACACGCACACACACACACGCGCAGGCACACACACACGCACACACACACACACACATATGTACAAGGGGTTGCAGATTGCATTGCACTTATTTTTAGTGCAATCTTATTCCATTCTTATTGATTTGTTTACAGCTATTCTTTATTTAATTGGCACTGGTATTATAATAATAATTATATATGTAGTGGTGTGTGTGTGTGTGTGTGTATATATACATATATATAGATATGTGTATGTATGTATGTGTATATATATATATACATATATATAGATATGTGTATGTATGTATGTGTATATATATATATATACACACACAATACCATTCAAAAGTTTGGGGTCACTTAGAAATGTCCTTGTTTTCGAAAGAAAAAAAAAAAGAAAGTCCATTAAAATAACATCAAATTGATCAGAAATACAGTGTAGACATTGTTAATGTTGTAAATGGCTATTGTAGCTGGAAATGGCTGATTTTTAATGGAATATCTACATAGGCGTACAGAGGCCCATTATCAGCAACCATCAGTCCTGTGTTCCAATGGCACGTTGTGTTTGCTAATCCAAGTTAGCACAGCTGAAAACTGTTGTGTTGATTAAAGAAGCAATAAAACTGGCCTTCTTGAGACTAGTTGAGTATCTGGAGCATCAGCAATTGTGGGTTCGATTACAGGCTCAAAATGTCCAGAAACAAAGAACGTTCTTCTGAAACTCGTCAGTCTTGTTCTGAGAAATGAAGGCTATTCCATGCGAGAAATTGCCAAGAATCTGACGATCTCGGACAACGCTGTGTTCTACTCCCTGTCACGCCCTGGCTCTGGGGACACTTGTATGTTGAGCCAGGGTGTGAGTTTCCTTTGGGTATTCTAGTTTTTTGTATATCTATGTTGGCCAGGGTGGCTCCCAATCAGAGACGGCTGTAGCTCGTTGTCTCTGATTGGGAGTCATACTTAGGTAGCCGTTAGGCATTCATTCATTGTTGTTTCTTGTTCCGTGTTGGTTCGTGTATGTAACCAGGGACGTCACGTTTTCGTTTTGTTGTTTTGTTCGTGTGTTCATTCAAATTAAATAAAATGTTCGCATTCCACGCTGCGCCTTGGTCCTCCTCTGTTCCCGACGAGCGTGACAGAAGAAACCACCAAGATTGGACCAAGCAGCGTGTCCAGGAGCCATCGCCAGGGAGATCTCTAGCAGATCTCCTTCGTCTCCTCGACTGGGTCAAGCCGGGTGAGGAAGAGAAGGGCTTGACATGGAAGCAAAAGGGCGAAAGGCTGGCGAGGGACATGGAGACCTGGTCCACGGGTAGGAGAGACGGCCAGAAAATTTTTAGGGGGGGGCTAACGCCGTGGACGACGGGCCAGCAGGAGACCGCGGCAGAGCGGCCCAGCGGGTTGGCAGAGGAGGCCGCCAGGTTACGGGGGCCACTGGTCGAAGAGGGGATGGAAGGTGTAGAGGCACGGCGAGAGGTACTGGGGTGTGTTACCAGTCCGGTCCGGCCCATTCCAGATCCCTGTGTAGGACCAGTGGTGTGTGTCCCCAGTACGGTCCGGCCTGTTCCTGCTCCCCGCACCAGGCCAATGGTGCGCGTCGTCAGCCCGGCTCGGCCCGTTCCTGCTCCCCGCACCAAGTCAGTGGTGCGCTTCGTCAGCCCGGCTCGGCCCGTTCCTGCTCCCCGCACCAAGTCAGTGGTGCGCTTCGTCAGCTCGGCTCGGCCCGTTCCTGCTCCCCGCACCAAGTCAGTGGTGCGCTTCGTCAGCCCAGTCCGGCCCGCTCCTGCTCCCCGCACAAAGTCAGTGGTGCGCTTCGTCAGCCCGGCTCGGCCCGTTCCTGCTCCCCGCACCAAGTCAGTGGTGCGCTTCGTCAGCCCGGTCCGGCCCGCTCCTGCTCCCCGCACCAAGTCAGGGGTGCGTTTCGTCAGCCCGGCTCGGCCCGTTCCTGCTCCCCACACCAAGCCAGTGGTGTGCGTCGTCAGTCCGGCACAGCCCGTGCCTGTTCCACTGGTGCCTGGTTCAGCACCGGTCAGCTGCTTCACGCCGGACCAGGGGTACTTTGGGGGGTTGGAGAGGGAGTGGGGATCAGGCCCGGAGCCGGATCCGCCGCCAAGGTGGAGTGCCCACCCGGTCCCTCCCCTGTGGTGTTTGGTTGGCGCGGCCGGAGTCCGCGCCTTTAGGGGGGGGTACTGTCACGCCCTGGCTCTGGGGACACTTGTATGTTGAGCCAGGGTGTGAGTTTCCTTTGGGTATTCTAGTTTTTTGTATATCTATGTTGGCCAGGGTGGCTCCCAATCAGAGACGGCTGTAGCTATTTGTCTCTGATTGGGAGTCATACTTAGGTAGCCGTTAGGCATTCATTCATTGTGGTTTCTTGTTCCGTGTTGGTTCGTGTATGTAACCAGGGACGTCACGTTTTCGTTTTGTTGTTTTGTTCGTGTGTTCATTCAAATTAAATAAAATGTTCGCATTCCACGCTGCGCCTTGGTCCTCCTCTGTTCCCGACGAGCGTGACACTCCCTTCACAGAACAGCTCAAACTGGCTCTAACCAGAATAGAAAGAGGAGTGGGAGGCTCCGGTGCACAACTGAGCAAGACGACAAATACATTAGAGTGTCTAGTTTGAGAAACAGGTGCCTCACAGGTCCTCAACTGGCAGCTTCATTAAATAGTACCCACAAAACACCAGTCTCAACGTCAACAGTGAAGAGGCGACTCCGGGATGCTGACCTAAAGAGTTGCAAAGAAAAAGTATTTGCAACTCTGCCTAGAAGGTCAGCATCCCGGACTTGCCTCTTCACTGTTGACGTTGAAACTGGTGTTTTGCAGGTACTATTTAATGAAGCTCTTGCTCAGTTGTGCACCGGGGCCTCCCACTCCTCTTCTTGGTAATTTCTCGCATGGAATAACCTTCATTTCTCAGAACAAGAATAGACTGACGAGTTTCAGAAGAATCTGAGCAGATAATATAGCCCTAAACTCTTCAGAATTCATCATGCTGCTTTTGTCAGCGGTCACATCATCAATAAATACAATGGAACCAGTTCCATTGGCAGCCATACAGTGGGGAAAAAAAGTATTTAGCCATCCACCAATTGTGCAAGTTCTCCCACTTAAAAAGATGAGAGAGGCCTGTAATTTTCATCATAGGTACACGTCAACTATGACAGACAAAATGAGAGAAAAAAATCCAGAAAATCACATTGTAGGATTTTTAATGAATTTATTTGCAAATTATGGTGGAAAATAAGTATTTGGTCAATAACAAAAGTTTCTCAATACTTTGTTATATACCCTTTGTTGGCAATGACACAGGTCAAACGTTTTCTGTAAGTCTTCACAAGGTTTTCACACACTGTTGCTGGTATTTTGGCCCATTCCTCCATGCAGATCTCCTCTAGATCAGTGATGTTTTGGGGCTGTCGCTGGGCAACACGGACTTTCAACTCCCTCCAAAGATTTTCTATGGGGTTGAGATCTGGAGACTGGCTAGGCCACTCCAGGACCTTGAAATGCTTCTTACGAAGCCACTCCTTTGTTGCCCGGGCGGTGTGTTTGGGATCATTGTCATGCTGAAAGACCCAGCAACGTTTCATCTTCAATGCCCTTGCTGATGGAAGGAGGTTTTCACTCAAAATCTCACGATACATGGCCCCATTCATTCTTTCCTTTACACGGATCAGTCATCCTGGTCCCTTTGCAGAAAAACAGCCCCAAAGCATGATGTTTCCACCCCCATGCTTCACAGTAGGTATGGTGTTCTTTGGATGCAACTCAGCATTCTTTGTCCTCCAAACACGACGAGTTGAGTTTTTACCAAAAAGTTATATTTTGGTTTCATCTGACCAGATGACATTCTCCCAATCCTCTTCTGGATCATCCAAATGCACTCTAGCAAACTTCAGACGGGACATGTACTGGCTTAAGCAGGGGGACACGTCTGGCACTGCAGGATTTGAGTCCCTGGCGGCGTAGTGTGTTACTGATGGTAGGCTTTGTTACTTTGGTCCCAGCTCTCTGCAGGTCATTCACTAGGTCCCCCCGTGTGGTTCTGGGATTTTTGCTCACCGTTCTTGTGATCATTTTGACCCCACGGGGTGAGATCTTGCGTGGAGCCCCAGATCGAGGGAGATTATCAGTGGTCTTGTATGTCTTCCATTTCCTAATAATTGCTCCCACAGTTGATTTCTTCAAACCAAGCTGCTTACCTATTGCAGATTCAGTCTTCCCAGCCTGGTGCAGGTCTACAATTTTGTTTCTGGTGTCCTTTGACAGCTCTTTGGTCTTGGCCATAGTGGAGTTTGGAGTGTGACTGTTTGAGGTTGTGGACAGGTGTCTTTTATACTGATATCAAGTTCAAACAGGTGCCATTAATACAGGTAACGAGTGGAGGACAGAGGAGCCTCTTAAAGAAGAAGTTACAGGTCTGTGAGAGCCAGAAATCTTGCTTGTTTGTAGGTGACCAAATACTTATTTTCCACCATAATTTGCAAATAAATTCATTAAAAATCCTACAATGTGATTTTCTGGATTCTTTTTTCTCAATTTGTCTGTCATAGTTGACGTGTACCTATAATGAAAATTGCAGGCCTCTCTCATCTTTTTAAGTGGGAGAACTTGCACAATTGGTGGCTGACTAAATACTTTTTTCCCCCACTGTACATGCCCACGCCATAACACTACCTCCACCATGCTTCACAGATGAGGTGGTATGCTTCAAAGTTTCTTCCCTTTTCCAAACTTATCTTCCCATCATTCTGGTACAAGTTGATCTTTGTCTCATCTGTCCATAGATGTTGTTCCAGAACTGTACAGGCTTTTTAAAAATGTTTTTGGGCAAACTCTAATCTGGTCTTCCTGTTTTTGAGGCTTACCAATGGTTTACATCTTGTGGTAAACCCTCCATATTTACTCTGGTGAAGTCTTCTCTTGATTGTTGACTTTGACACAGATACGCCTACCTCCTGAAGGGTGTTCTTGATCTGGCCAATTGTTGTGAAGGGGTTTTCACCAGGGAAATAATTATTCTGTCATCCACCACAGTTTTTTTTCCGTGGTCTTCCGTGCCTTTTGGTGTTCCTGAGCTCACCAGTGTGTTCTTTATTTTTAAGAATGTACCAAATAGTTGATTTGGCCACACCTAATGTTTTTGCTATCTCTCTGATGGGTTTGTTTTGATTTTTCAGCCTAATGATGGCTTGCATCACTGGCAGTGACAGCTCTTTGGACTTCATATTGAGGATTAACAGCAACAGATTCCAAATGCAAATGCCACACTTGAAATTAACTCTAGACCTTTTATCTGCTTACTTGTAAATTAACTAATGAAGGAATAACACACACCTGGCCATGGTACAGCTGAGCAGCCAATTGTCCAATTACTTTTGGTCCCTTAAAAAGGGGATACCACATATAAAAAGTGCTGTAATTCCTACACCGTTCACCCAATTTGGATGTAAATACACTCAAATTAAAGCTGAAAGTCTGCACTTTCAGCTCATTTTCATTATTTAATTTAAATTCCAATATGCTGTGGTAGACAGCTAAAATAATAATAACTTGGTCAATGTCCAAATATTTATGGATCTGACTATATTTATGGACCTGACTGCCTTGCAAAAGTATTCATTCTGTTTAAAGGCACCGTCAGCTGTGCTAACATAATTGCAAAAGGGTTTTCTAATGATAAATTAGCCTTTTAAAATGATAAACTTGGATTAGCAAACACAACGTGCCATTGGAACACAGGACTGATGGTTGCTGATAATGGGCCTCTGTACGCCTATGTAGATATTCCATTAAAAATTAGCTGTTTCCAGCTACAATAGCCATTTACAACATTAACAATGTCTACACTGTATTTCTGATCAATTTGATGTTATTTTAATGGACAAAAAAATTGCTTTTCTTTCGAAAACAAGGAAATTTCTAAGTGACCCCAAACTTTTGAATGGTAGTGTATATATATATATGTGGTCCTCTGTAGCTCAGCTGGTAGAGCACGGCGCTTGTAACGCCAAGGTAGTGGGTTCGATCCCCGGGACCACCCATACACAAAAATGTATGCACGCATGACTGTAAGTCGCTTTGGATAAAAGCGTCTGCTAAATGGCATATTATTTTATTATTATATATATATATATATATATATATATATATATATATATATATACATACATATATACATACATACACATATCTATAGCTGTTTAAAGGCACCGTCAACTTAGTGTATGTAAACTTCTGACCCACTGGAATTGTGATACAGTGAATTATAAGTGAAATAATCTGTCTGTAAACAATTGTTGTAAAAATGACTTGTGTCATGAACAAAGTAGATGTCCTAACCGACTTACCAAAATTATAGTTTGTTAACAAGAAATGTGTGGAGTGGTTGAAAACGAGTTTTAATGACTCCAACCTAAGTGTATGTAAACTTCCTACTTCAACTGTATATATATATAGATATATATATATATTTTTTACATATTTTTTTTTTTTAATGTACTTTACTCAAACCAGTGAATATCACTTATTATAAATGAGATCATTAACTATCAGCTCTTGGAATATCCAGGGCCTATACTCTTCACATTTTGGTTCTAAAACAACAAATCCTGAATTTCTTAAAAACATCAAGGGACACGACATCATAATCCTACTGGAAACATGGTGTCATTGAGACATTGATACTCAGTGTCCCTCAGGCTATAGAGAAAGTTTACTACCATCAATCAAACATACAAATGTTAAACAGGGCCGGGACTCAGGTGGAATCATCATTTGGCATAAGCAGAACTTAGCACTGAATTAAATCAAAAAAAGGTACTAACCGCATTTGGCTAAAACTTAACAAAGGTACAATCTATTGTGACAATGATGTATACATATGTGCAGTTTATGCTCCTCCTTCAGATTCATCATATTATGATGATCAGTTTTTTGATAATCTTCATACAGAAATCCTTCAATTTCAGGCAGAGGGTAAAGTGCTTCTTTGTGGAGATTTCAATCCGAGAACAGGTTCTGAGCCTGACTACACTGATGCAGGAGGTAACCACCACATATTTGGACACCCCTCCTTGTACAGTAGCCCTATTATAAATAATAGAAACAGTCCTGACCAAATACTGAACAAAAACGGGAAGGAGTTAGTGCATCTCTGTCGAGCCTTAGGCCTGTACATGCTTAATGGTAGAATCAGAGGGGACTCTTTAGGTCGGTTTACTTACTGCTCAGCTCTTGGGACAAGTGTAGTCGATTATGCCATCACTGACATCGACCCCTCCTCCATTAGTGCATTCACTGTCAGACCACAGACACCATTGTCAGATCACAGTCAGATCTACGTGTCTCTGAAGAAATTAACCAGCAATACTCATTCAAAAAAACAGCCCAATAAACTCTACAACATGAACCAATCGTACAGATGGGCTCAAAACAGTGCAGAGAAATTCATTGAAACATTGAACTCAAATGAAATGATGAACTCTATACAGGTCTTCAATAACTCACAATACCAAAACAATAAAGAAGGTGTCAATTCGGCTACTCAAAACATAAATTGCATATTCCAAAAAGCAGCATCAAAAGCAAATTTGAGAAAACCAAAGAAATGCAACATCAGAAAAAATAAAATTAAAAACTTTTCTGAAAAATTGTTTGAGAAAATTTTTTAAACAATTAGAAAACACCTAAGACAAATGTCAAATGAAAAACATTTAGAAAACACCTAAGACAAATGTCAAATGAAAAACAATTAGAAAACACCTAAGACAAATGTCAAATGAAAAACAATTAGAAAACACTTAAGACAAATGTAAAATGAAAAACAATTAGAAAACACCTAAGACAAATGTCAAATGAAAAACATTTAGAAAACACCTAAGACAAATGTCAAATGAAAAACAATTAGAAAACACCTAAGACAAATGTCAAATGAAAAACAATTAGAAAACACTTAAGACAAATGTCAAATGAAAAACATTTAGAAAACACCTAAGACAAATGTCAAATGAAAAACAATTAGAAAACACTTAAGACAAATGTAAAATGAAAAACAATTAGAAAACACCTAAGACAAATGTCAAATGAAAAACATTTAGAAAACACCTAAGACAAATGTCAAATGAAAAACAATTAGAAAACACTTAAAACAAATGTCAAATGAAAAACAATTAGAAAACACCTAAGACAAATGTCAAATGAAAAACATAAGCAACATAAGCAACAAAACAACCCAGAGCTACGCTATGAATACTTTGAAACTCAGAAACAGTATAAACATACACTGAAACGCAATAAATGTAATTATACCATTAAGACACTTGATGAAATTGAAAACGCAATTGACCAAAATCAATTTTGGGACATGTGGAACAATTTAAGCACGACAAAGCCACAAGAATTAGCCATACAAGATGAAGGAATTTGGAAAACTTATTTTGATAATCTATACAAAAACATCCCACAAAAGACCAATTAGAAATTCAAGAGAAATTGAACATCCTTAAATTAGTCATTAAAAATGACCAAAATCCATTAGATTACCCAATATCCCAACAAGAACTAAATGAAAAGCTAAAATCTATAAAACCAAAGAAGGCTTGTGGTCTAGATAACATCAGAAATGAAATGCTGAAAAACAGCACACCTGAGTTGCAAAATGCTGTGCTTAAATTGTTCAACATGGTACTAACTTCTGGCTGCTTTCCTGATGTCTGGAACCAGGGGCTCATCTCCCCTATCCACAAAAGTGGAGACAAATCAGACTCCAATAATTACAGGGGAATATGCGTAAACAGCAACTTGGGAAAGGTTTTCTGTAACAATTCAAGAATTCAAACCTTTCTACAAGAAAACAATGTAATAAGTAAATGTCAAATTGGCTTTCCCCAACCATTGCACTACTGACCATATATACACCTTACACACACTAATTAATAAACACGTCCACCAAAAAAAAGAGGGCAAAATCTTTGCTTGCTTTATTGACTTTAAAAAAGCATTCGATTCTGTTTGGTACGAAAAGCTATTCTTCAAAATTCTCCAAAGTATGTACACAGAAAACAAGTGTGCAATAAAAATCAAAAACCAAAGAACATAATTATTTTCACAATATCGAGGTGTGAGACAAGGCTGCAGTTTGAGTCCAAATCTTTTCAACATTTATATCAATGAATTACCAGACATGTTGGACCATTCTGCAGCCCCAGGACTCACACTATTTGACACAGAGGTAAAATACCTGCTATATGCTGATGATTTGGTTCTTCTATCACCAACCAAAGAAGGTCTTCAACAGAACCTTAACATTCTAGAGCAATATTGCCATAATTGGGCCTTGGCAGTAAATTTCAAAAAAACGAATATCATGATTTTCCAGAAGAAAAAAACAAATGTCAGAAACACATATAAATTCACCCTGAACAACACCATAATTGAACACACTAAAAATGACTCATACCTTGGTCCTATCTGCATCGGGAAACTTTAATATGGCAGTGAATGCACTCAAAGAAAAAGCCTGCAGAGCATTGTATGCAATAAAAATGAAATTATTCAAAATCAACATCCCAATTAGAATTTGGACCAAAATATTTGACAGCGTAATCCTACCAATAGCTCTTTACGGAGGTGAGGTTTGGGTTGGACAAACATCCAATTGAAACCCTACATGCAGACTGTCGGAAAATTATACAAGTCCAAAGAAATACACCAAATAATGCATATAGGGCAGAATTGGGCCGCTTTCCAGTGGTAATGAAAGTACAAAAAATATAATTTCAATTTTTGGCTACACCTAAATTCAAGTCCAAATTCAAGTCTCCAATTTAAGCACTTCAAACCCAAGAGCTGAGCCCAGAAACAAGCCCTCTCAGTCAGCTGGTGTTGGACCTAACCAACCAAGTTGACACCGGCACTGTTTCAAAAGAAATCATTAAAATAAACAAAATCATGAACCAATCAAAGGACGCATATTTACAACATTGGAAAAACAAAACAACATCCCAAAGCCAACTAAAATGCTATCTGGCTCTGAACAGAGAATATGAATTGGCTGATTATCTCTACTCTGTCAGAGATATGAAGCAGAGACAGTCCTTACCAAGTACAGGCTGAGTGACCACCAATTGGCAATAGAAACCAGAATAATAATAATAATAATAATATGCCATTTAGCAGACGCTTTTATCCAAAGCGACTTACAGTCATGCGTGCATAAATTTTTTGTGTATGGGTGGTCCCGGGGATCGAACCCACTACCTTGGCGTTACAAGCGCCGTGCTCTACCAGCTGAGCTACAGAGGACCAGAAGACATAAAAAAAACATGGCTACACAAAGAGGAGCGTGTATGTGGTCACTGCACAACAGGGGAGGTAGAAACAGAGATGCACTTTCTCCTTTACTGTGATACATATTCCTCACCAAGAGATTCATTATTGACAGAAATTACTACATTTATTTTAAAAATGTACTTAAACCCAGAGGAAAAACAAAAAATAGTCATGGGTGAAGGTGCAATGGCTCCTCTTGCAGCCAAATATGTATTTGCCTGCCATAGCCTGAGGGACACTGAATAATAACATCTGCATAGTAAGCAGTAACTTACTTATTATTATTATTGTTATAGTTATTATTATTATTATTGTTATTACTATTATTGTTATTATTGTTGTGATTATTTTTCTAAATAGTAATGGTACGGGTAGTAGGGGTGATGGTAATGATAGCAGTTTAATGATGGTGGTGGTAGTAGTAGTAGTAGTAATGATGATGGGAGAGAGAGAGAGAGAGAGAGAGAGAGGAGAGAGAGAGAGAGAGAGAGGAGAGAGAGAGAGAGAGAGAGAGAGAGAGAGAGAGAGAGAGATTGTGTGTGTGTCTGGCCGCAGTGTGTTCTGTGATCTGAAAAGCAGAGCCAAAGTGAGTGGAAACATCAGTGTGTTTTAGGCCACCGGGGATCAAGTTTTCCACTGAAAAATCTTTGTGTGTCTAAATGTGTTTTTGTATGTGAATGTGTGTTGGAGCTATCACCTGTTCGTTCTGTAGTCTGTGCAGCCTGTCTCTCTCCCCTTTGATGTTTTCTACAGGAGATTCCTTTAGTGTGAAATAGTCAATGAAAGAGCAGCATTTAACAACTGTTATTACTGCTTCTTTACAGTAGGCCCTCTCTCTATCTCTCTCTACCCTACCCATCTCTCTGTTTGTCTACCTTTCTTTCTCCTTCTGTCTCTCTTTCTCTCTTTCTCTTTTTCTTCACTCTCTGTATCTCTTTCTATTTATTTTTCTCTTCCTCCCTTTCCACCTTCCTCTCGTCTCTTTCGGAGTGAGTGATGATATGAGAGGTATAAAGAAAGGATGGAAACCAGAAGAAATTACACATTAGTCCTGAGACACACCCACGATAGGAGAGGAAGGAAGGGAGTAGAGTATGAGTATAGATATGTCTTTCCTGCTCTCTTATCTCTCTTCTGCTTCGTCAGAGTGCCGTTGCGAGGGCTTCATGACGAGGAGAGCTGCCATACGCTCCTTGCTAGCAGAGATGAGTCAGCGAGGTAGTCCAGTACTCGTAGCATTGCGTTGGACATGTCGGTCTCTAGGTCTGCTCATTCTCATAGAGTATCGAGATGTGACGTAGTGGGCGGCTGGATTCTATTTACACACATTCTTCGTATATTCTACTTCGCTTTCTCTCTTACTCACCATACCTTACCTGTCTCGTTTACTTTCCTTCCTTTCTTCTTTCTTGCAACTATTCCCATGTCTTCACTGTATTCCATCTACTACTTTACCTCCCTCCTCTTCTTTCCTGTCTATTCTTCGTCCTTTCTATCTCAATTCCTTCCTATCCTCTGCTCTTCGGTCCTTGACTGATGCGTCAGCACAGTGCCTCCTCCCCCCCCCATTTTATCAACGAACCACGGCCTCGTGAGCTGACCGGATGACGATGAGAGGAGTATCTAGTCTTGTTATATAGCACAGACAGACAGACATCAGACAGTGTGTGCTTTCATTTCCTTCCGGTGTTGGGGGTGTCTGTCTGAGTGTAGAACATATGTCAGAGCCCAGGGTGGAGAGAACACACTGTATTACCCATGTGACAACTACCCATTTAATCAACACACAGCACGACCAGAACATTTTTTTACGGAGGCTGATCCTATTTACTGTGGTCACTAAACATGCTAAAATGCGTCGCTCCGCTATGAAAACCTGAAGGAAAGAGGGAGAAAGGATGAGAAAGTGAGAGATGAGAGGCAGCGATAAGGACTGAATGCGGAGAGAGGAGAGAGAAGAGGAGGAAGGAAAGGTAGCGAGAGTACTGCACGCTATTCTGATCCACTTCTGTTGGAATGTTTTCTGTTTATGGAAGTCTGAGGCACTCATGGAAATTTGGGGCCCCCAATCCTTGACTATCTCCTCCGTGGAGAGGACACTGATCAGTGCGCTAGATCTGAGGAGGGGGTCTGTGTCTTCGAGGAGAATCATGGAGGAGAGGAGCGGTAGTTTGTAAGGATGATTAGGGAGTGAGGGGGAGGACTACTGGAGTAGAGTAGTATCCTACGACTGATGGCTGTGGAGTTCGGAGCTGTATGAGAGAGAGAGGCGGTGGCGACGCTAGAAGAGCTCTCCTGGAGGTGCTCGTAGGGATGATGTATGAGGCGGAGAGGAGGAGTCTGAGGGTGGGGGCCTAGAGAGAAGAGCTGAGAGCCGAGGTGACTGAGGGGGGAGGAGAAGGATATGATGAGGTAGGAGGTGAGACGAGAGAGGAGAGAGGAAGGAGAGGAGAGGTAGTGGGAGTCCTGGAGAGGGGGAGAGGGGGCGAGGGGAAGACAAACATGTCTGAGCCCAGTGTAAGTAACATCTACGTCTTCTCCTCTACACACCATGACAAAACACAGTGGTGTGTTCATTTTTCCTTCAGGGTTGGGTTGTCTGTTGAGTGTAGAACATTGTCACACCCCAGCTGAAGCACATGTAATTACCCATTGAAAACCCATTTAAAACACACCACCAAATTTTTACGGAGTGATCCTAATTTACTGTGGTCAGCTAAACTATGTAAGGTCGCTGCTATGAAAACCTCGAAAGGAAAGAGGGAGAGAAGGGGAAGAGGAGACGGAGAGGAGACCGGTCAGAGGAGGGAGGACAGGAAGGAGCATATGAGCCTGAGGGAATAGTTAGGGTAAGGACGGAGGGCGGAGACAGAAGGAAGCTATAATGTGATCTGGTGGAGGTTTCTGTTTTGCGGAGTTTAGGGGCCACTATGGAAAATCAGATCAATAGGCCTGAGGCTTTTGTTTTTGTTTGGCCAACCTGATGCAAACAAAGCACCATTCACAGATGAAGTTGCCAGAACTGATCCAAGGGTTGTTACGGATTTTTTTCTAAGGTTAAGGTCAGAATATGCGGACGAGTAGAGTGATCCTGATTGTGCTTAGACAATATAACCAAAGAGATCACCAGACCATGTCATGGAGAGGGCCTGTAATCTTTCCCTTATGAAGATATAAATAAGTCAAATGGTATAGAAGTCATTAGCTTGGGCTCTCAAATCCAACTCTGACCCTTTAAGCTCAACCTAAACATTATCGCATGACCCAGGGCAGGCAGGCAATTGGAATTCTCTCTGCCGTACACATCACTCCCATCACCGAGCCTGGGTTTGGATTCCACCTCACACACCCAGAGCATATGAAATGGCCATTACCCAGTCCAGCTCTAACCTAGGACATGTACTGGAGGTGAGACCATAAATAATCTTGATTTTAAAAGTACTACTGCGGTGAAGACCAGTTCAAGGAAAGGGCTATTGGCTTGGCTTGCGTCCTCTACTGTGTTTCACATCATGTCAAGGCACCACACAAAGATAAGCTGTCATACTGAAGAGCTGTAGCAGTGCTCACAGTCTTCACTCCCTCTTCTCAGTATCAGCAGAAGCGCTAGCTAGAACGTTAACTCTGTCAGTGCGGATGGCTTTATCAGTGCTAGTTTATTGGGAACACTGTGTTACAGTAGTAAATATAGTGGTAATATAGCGGTGGTATGAGTGTCGCTTCTGAGGGTTATTTACTCTCCATCCCGCTCTAATCCAAGTCCCTGTCAGCCTTTACTGCTCTTATTTATGGACACACTTCCCTATCAGCTTTAGGATGAGCTGACCGCACTCCAAGATGCTCTCGAGGAGTGTTCTGTGGTGTTCCGAACTAGTGTTCTACAGGGTTCCCTCTCCTGTGTGTGAAAGTCAGCAGCTGTGGCTCTGGTCATACAATTAGAATGAGTAGAGAGGAAATTCTGTTTCAAAGCAACGTTGGAGAGTGGACTGGTGGGCCATATTGGTTGTAAAGGAGGGGAGGTGAGGTGCGGAGAGTAGAGGAGAGGAGATGTTATGTTTTCAGCAGTAAGCACTCAGCAGTATTAAATCATGACGGCAGAGAAGCTCTGCTTTACTGTGTGTTTATATCACTGTCAAGCCTGGCCTTCTCTCTCTCTCCCTCCTTTCCTCTCCCTCTCCCTCTCTCTCCCTCTTTCTCAATTCAATTCAATTTAAGGGCTTTATTGGCATGGGAAACATATGTTTACATTGCCAAAGCAAGTGAAATAGATGATAAACAAAAGTGTTTACTGTAAAAAATTTGTTTTTACAGTAAACATTACACTCACAAAAGTTCCAAAAGAATAAAGACTTTTCAAGTGTCATATTATGTCTATATACAGTGTTGTAATGATGTGAAGATAGTTAAAGTACAAAAAGGTTGTATTTACAATGGTGTTTGTTCTTCACTGGTTTCCCTTTTCTTGTGGCAACAGGTCACAAATCTTGCTGCTGTGATTGCACACTGTGGTATTTCACCTAATAGATATGGGAGTTTATCCAAATTGGATTTGTTTTCAAATTCTTTGTGGGTCTGTGTAATCTGAGGGAAGTATGTGTCTCTAATATGGTCATACATTTGGCAGGAAGCTAGGAAGTGCAGCTCAGTTTCCACCTCATTTTGTGGGCAGTGTGCACATAGCCTGTCTTCTCTTGAGAGCCAGGTCTGCCTACAGCGACCTCTCTCAATAGCAAGGCTATGCTCACTGAGTCTGTACATAGTCAAAGATTTCCTTAATTTCACAGTGGTCAGGTATTCTGCCACTGTGTACTCGCTCTCTCCCTCTCTCTCTTTCCCTTCTAAACCCCTTCTACCTTATCTTCCTTCCTCCCTCCCTCTCCTTTCTCTTCTCCTCCCACTCTCTCACCTTTCCCCCTCCCCTGCCCTCTCTTCCTGCAGCCAAACTTTCCCTTTTAATGACCACCACTCCTTGGCAGCTCAGCTAACAACATACACACACCAGCCAGGTCACACCAGATGCAATGCAGTATTCGACGTTCGTCCAGGTCCCCAGGACTTCGGGAGATGCCTTCAATACCGGCCACTAGGTGGCAACGGTGAGTGCTATTACCATCAAGTAGGCTCGCGGCTTGCTAAGGCGTCCTCCAAGGATCGCAGTTTCAATCCTAGTGCTAGGCACTCGTTTAGATCTTTGGGGTTTTAACCCTATCCCAAACCTTAGCCCTTAACTTAACCTATCGGAATGATCCAAATAGGATTTATTTTCAAATTCTTTGTGGGTCTGTGTAATCTGAGGGAAGTATGTGTCTCTAATATGGTCATACATTTGGCAGGAAGTTAGGAAGTGTAGCTCAGTTTCCACCTCATTTTGTGGGCAGTGTGCACATAGCCTGTCTTCTCTGGATAGCCAGGTCTTTCGAAAGTATTTGAAAGCCAAGTTAACAAACAGATCACAGACCATTTCGAATCCCACTGTACCTTCTCCGCTATCCAATCTGGTTTCCGAGCTGGTTATGGGTGCACCTCAGCCACGCTCAAGGTCCTAAACGATATTATAACCGCGATCGATAAAAGACAGTGCAGCCGTCTTCATCGACCTGGCCAAGGCTTTCGACTCTGTCAATCACTGCATTCTTATTGGCAGACTTAATAGCCTTGGTTTCTCAAATGACTGCCTCGCCTGGTTCACCAACTACTTCAATGTGTCAAATCGGAGGGCCTGTTGTCTGGACCTCTGGCAGTCTCTATGGGGGTGCCACAGGGTTCAATTCTCGGGCCGACTCTATTCTCTGTGTAGATCAATGATGTCGCTCTTGCTGCTGGTGACTCTCAGATCCACCTCTATGCAGACAACACCATTTTGTATACATCTGGCCCTTCATTGGACACTGTGTTAACAAACCTCCAAACGAGCTTCAATGCCATACAACACTCCTTCCGTGACCTCCAATTGCTCTTAAATGCTAGTAAAACTAAATGCATGCTCTTCAATCGAACGCTGCTTGCACCCGCCCGCCCGACTAGAATCACTACTCTCGGCGGGTCTGACTTAGAATATGTGGACAACTACAAATACCTAGGTGTCTGGTTAGACCATAAACTATCCTTCCAGACTCACATTAAGCACCTCCAATCCAAAGTTAAATCTAGAATCGGCTTCTTATTTCGCAACAAAGCCTCCTTCACTCATGCTGCCAAACATGCCCTCATAAAACTGACTATGCTACCGATCCTTGACTTCGGCAATGTCATTTACAAAATAGCCTCCAACACTCTACTCAGCAAATTGTATGTAGTCTATCACAGTGCCATCTGTTTTGTCACCAAAGCCCCATATACTACCCACCATTGTGACCTGTATGCTCTCGTTGGCTGGCCCTCACTTCATATTCGTCGCCAAACCCACTGGCTCCAGGTCATTTATAAATCACTGCTAGGCAAATCCCCGCCTTATCTTAGCTCATTGGTCACCATAGCAACACCCACCCGTAGTATGCGCTCCAGCAGGTATATATCACTGGTCATCCCCAAAGCCAACACCTCCTTTGGCCGCCATTCCTTCCAGTTCTTTGCTGCCAATGACTGGAACGAACTGCAAAAATCTCTGAAGCTGGAGACTCTTATCTCCCTCACTAACTTTTATGGTTACATATGTATTTTGCCTTTGAGCTTGTTCATCTGTTTTACCTGGAGAGAGATGTTTAAAACCTAACACAGGTCCTAGTGGGAAAACCCCAACTGAGTTGAAAAATATCTGTATCTGCACTTGAGTAAATCCTGCAAAATGCTCCAGCTTAGAGAGACGTCATTCCAGTGGCGGTGAGAAATCGTTGACTCTGTTCAGTCTTACATAGTCTTCCACAGTCCTGTACACACACACACGTGCGCGGGCACACAATGTCCTGCATGAAGGGAGGGTGGAGCTTCTGAATAGGTGTACTGGCCTGAACTTTTGGATGGGAGACACACACACTGGTTCAAGTGATCCTAAATAGATTTGATATGAAATGTAAATATAGGGCCTACTCCCTTACCGTACACCAAATCAAACTCTATACTCCCTCTCCATATCCCCCACACCCAACCAAAACCTCAGAGCCCCCCACCATTCAGGCATCCTTCCTCCTTACATTTTTACATTTTACATTTTAGTCATTTAGCAGACGCTCTTATCCAGAGCGACTTACAGTTATTGAGTACATACATATTTGTATTTATTTTTCATACTGGCCCCCCGCGGGAATCGAACCCACAACCCTGGCGTTGCAAACACCATGCTCTACCAACATCCCTGCCGGCCATTCCCTCCCCTACCCTGGACGACGCTGGGCCAATTGTGCACCGCCCCATGGGGCGGCGCACAAAATCACTTACCTTACACCAAATCAAACTCTATACTCCCTCTCCATATCCCCCACACCCAACCAAAGCCTCAGAGCCCCCCACTATTCAGGCATCCTTCCTCCTTATGTATTGGGCCATCCTCCAGAAACCTATAAAGCTACGGACCAGGAGAAGCTAAATAATCCGCGTTTTGGTATCCACGTGTGCAGAGCCCCATTCAATGGGATGTTGATAGAATATGAAGTGGAGTTTTAAACTTAGTGGCCTGGCATGTCTCTGGCTTCCACAGATCCTGCATGGACACAGCCAGTGAGGAAGAGAGAGAGAGGAGGGACAGAGAAAGAAACGTAGGTCAGGAGAGAGAGAGACGGGTCAGGAGAGAGAGAGACGGGTCAGGAGAGAGCGAGACGGGTCAGGAGAGCGAGAGACGGGCCAGGAGAGAGAGAGACGGGTCAGTAGAGAGAGAGACGGGTCAGGAGAGAGAGAGACGGGTCAGGAGAGAGAGAGACGGGCCAGGAGAGAGAGAGATGGTCAGGAGAGAGAAAGAGACGGGTCGGAGGGATAGACAGGTCAGGAGAGAGATAGACGGGCCAGGAGAGAGATAGACTGGTCAGGAAAGAGAGAGAGACGGGTCTTGAAAAGAAATTAGGAGAAGGTTGGGGCCTTCGTAGCGCCTGAGAAACAAAGGAAAAATAAACAGATAAAAGTATGAATGAGAAAACATGTCTTCCCTCTCATTCCAACATGAGAGAGAGAGCGAGAGAAAGAAGGGGGGATTGAGAGAGAAGGGGGGATTGAGAGAGAAAAAGAGGGAGGGAGGGAGGGAGAGCAGGGGGAGGAAAGAAGAACTAGTGTTGAATGAAATATGTTGACCTAGCAGAGTGGTGCTTGGTGTGGAGTGAACTAGTGTATTGGGGGAATTAGACACCTGTGTTTCCATCATACGACTGTTTCATCCTGTGTTTCCAACATACAACTGTTTCATCCTGTGTCTCCAACATACGACTGTTTCATCCTGTGTTTCCAACATACGACTGTTTCATCCTGTGTCTCCAACATACAACTGTTTCATCCTGTGTTTCCAACATACGACTGTTTCATCCTGTGTTTCCAACATACGACTGTTTCATCCTGTGTCTCCAACATACAACTGTTTCATCCTGTGTTTCCAACATATGACTGTTTCATCCTGTGTTTCCAACATACAACAGTTTCATCCTGTATTTCCAACATACGACTGTTTTATCCTGTGTTTCCAACATATGA